TTGAAAAGAAATTAAAATAATTGATTCAATTATTTATGTATGATCATCTTTTTTTTCTATAATGAAATATATTCGACATGATAGATTCTTCAGACAACGAGATTAAAACTATATCATTCGAAAAGAAAATAATTCAAATTGCATCGAGACCATGGAGAGTGTGAGTGTGGACTTGTGAGTGATTGAACAAGAACAACTCACACCTACACCTGAATATTGCCAAAAGCCAGTTTGAAAGCGATTATTCATTTGAAGAAGGTCCCTCATCAATTCATTAATAGGTATTAAAGCGATCGATACGCTTAGGTTGTCTGTTCAGTTACCTTAAAAGTTATATAAGAATTCCTGAACAGAAATACATTGGAATTAAGAATTTTGGCGCTCAATTTATTTTCATTTTTTATAAAATACCTCATACAATATCAACAACAGTCTTGATTTCGATGAGAGTAATTCGAATAATTCACTGTGGTCATTTAAGTAAAAGCTATGTTCCACAAAGTTCGATGGGAATCGAATTTGAGAGATCAATTTCAGTATATCAAAACTTCAGAAGTTATAAACCTTCATCATGTTTGAAACAATGAGTTGAACTATAAAAAAAACCAATTCGTCCCAATTCTGAAAAGAAATTATTAAGATCTCGTTTTCTACAAGTACCTAGAGTCTTAAATCTTAATTGTCTTATAAAATTGTCAGCAGTTTTCTCAGAACTTTTGGTCAAATCTAAGTACCTTGGTGACCTAAAGTCAAAATATTCTAAGAGAAAAAAAAACACAAGAATGATCTAGTTTAGAAATGTTTGATAATTACTCAAAATCTGATTCTAATCAAGTCAAAAGTATAAATTTTAGGAATGTAAAAATATTAATCTTGTTTTGCGTAATTGAGAACAGTTCGGCACTGTTTAAAACTAATGAATGACTCATTTCAATAAAATCAATGTTTATTTCTACTTCATACTTTTGTTTCACTCTAGTACCACTACGCGCGAGTTCGATTGATATTCATCCGAATGCAAAATGGAAACAAAATGGAATCACTGTAGCTGGAGGAAATGGACGAGGCAGTGGAATCAATCAAATCGATCGTCCATGGGGTTTGTACGTCGATGATGATCAAACTGTTTTTGTCGTTGATTGTGAAAATCACCGTATTGTGGAATGGAAATACGGTGCAATGAATGGCCAACTGGTTGCTGGTGGAAATGGAGATGGAAGCGGGGCTCATCAATTAAAACGTCCATTGGATGTGATTCTTGACAAAGAGAGAGATAGTCTCATCATCAGCGATATAGACAATAAAAGAGTAGTTCGATGGCCTCGACGATATGGTTCTAGTGGGGAAACTATCATTTCGAACATTACTTGCATTGGTTTGACAATGGATGGGAATGGATCGCTCTATGTCGTTGACGAAGAAGAACATGAAGTGAGACGATATAGAATTGGTGACACCAAAGGAATAGTGATTGCAGGTGGCAATGGCAAAGGAAATCGTCTTGATCAACTCTTTTACCCAGAGTACGTATTCGTCGATCAAGATCATTCAGTGTACGTGTCTGAGTATGGAAATCATCGTGTGATGAAATGGGTGGAAGGTGCAAAACCAGGCATTGTTGTAGCTGGTGGTCAAGGGCAGGGAAATAGTCTTACACAATTGGATCGTCCTCGAGGAGTTGTTGTCGATCAATTGGGTACTGTCTATGTGGCTGATCATGGGAATCATCGAATCATGCGTTGGCCAAAAGGAGCTACGCAGGGAAGTGTCATTGTTGGTGGAAATGGGTATGGAGCACAGACGTATCAACTCAATAGTCCCATAGGTTTATCATTTGATCGACATGGCAATCTCTATGTCGTCGAATGGGGAAATGATCGAGTACAGAAATTTAATATCGAATAAACTCTGCGCGATGATTAATTTTATTTTTTGTTCTTTTTCTCTTACAATTAAATCGTGATTGAATGAAAAACAACTAATAGCTATTCTGTTCGCACACGCGCGCGACCAGGAACCATCCTGATGAAGATGCGGCGAGCGTAAAGCTCATGTATGCACGAGAAGACCCACGCCATTCATATGAACCTATCCAGTGTCATGTGTCATGTGTCAATGAGTCTGGAAGATCGATTGTGTGCCACAGACAGCGAAGCAGTCCTTGATCGAGCTTTTAAGAACTGGGCGGAAGTCCTTCAGATAAGTGAAGCCTAATTTCAATGGACATGGCTCACTCTACTCTCTTAGTAACACTCATTTTGCTTAGTCTCACCCTCTTCTCATACTCAAAAGAAAAAAACATGATGAACGATGACATGATGTGATGACATTGTTGGCTAAACAGAAAAGAAAAAAAATTAATTAATCATTTATGTATAGAAAAGAAAACAAGCACCTATCTCCTGTTATCTTTTTTCTCATCGTTTAATATCTGAAATAGGAAAAAAGCCAGACATTAAAAGAATTAGAGGGGGAATTATGGTCATCCTCATAATATTAACACATAAATTATGAAAAATTCAATCACAGATAGCTCAATATATATGTGAGGATAAAGTTTAATTTTTTCCACACATTAATTGTACAAGTTATAGTTAGTCGTCAACAACAATATGAGCAATGACTTACGGGTGAGAGTCACATGTTCCACTGTCTAAACAGCACATGAGAAGAAAAGAATGAAAGAAAAAAAGTTTATTATAGCTCTCATGGTCAGTTGTAAGCGCAAAGCAGGCAAACACACGCAAAGTACTCGGGCATATTTTCATTACTCAATTATTTTTTATTTTTCGACAGATCAACAACGTTATTGTGCAAAAATTTTGATCATCAACGGAAAAAGCTTGTTACATATTCGAAAACAAAATTTATATCACATCAGTGCTTTTATGCTTGTTCCCGTAGTTTCAGTAACTACGATATTCAAATGACTCTTTTTGATGTACAAGATATGAATTTATTATCATTATTCAAACGTCTCAATTTTGCATTGATTATGATCACCAAATGAAGAAATAAATGAGTAAGTTTGTTTAAAAAAAACAGAAAAACTAGTTTTTATCTTAGATCGCCATTGCATTATATTTATTTGAAAAAAACTTTTTTTCCAAGATTTTATTTAGCAATAAGAAATCCCGTGTTTTTATCATTTCGAGAACCTCTTCTATTAGAATTATAATCGTAATGAAATAATGAAACAACAAGTTTATTTTCGTATGTTATACTAAATAATACTTGCATTAGCCCACCTCGACTAACGAATATCACATGGCGTGATGAATTTTGGCGGAGTGTATGAAGTAATATTATATCATTAATGTCTGTTTTATCTCAATTATCAATAGATGAAACGAGAGTGTTGGAAGATAATCAACTTGTGGTTCAAATTGAACCTTTTCTATCATATCTATTTGAAATTTGGCTTATTGTAGTTAAAAAAAATATTTTATTCGCCATTTTACAATTATATCATCAAAAAAATCTTTGATAGAAAAACAAATATTAAATCGTCAAGAACATTTAAACTACGTTCAAAGGATAAACCATAAGCAAAAAAATATGATAAAATTCTTGTAATTCTCTTACATGTTGTTGTTCAGCTATTTTTTGTACATGTATATATCGCATTGTTTATTCCAGGATGATCAGGTACAACAGCAGATCGCACAAAACTGAATGATATAAGTGGGTGTGGATGTTATTCTTTTCTTCATCCACACCCACACTCTCCGGTTAGTTTTGGTCGTTTGGGGAGCCCAGAATCATCGTCCAGGGTGGTTTTCACTGAACATTTTTTGGAAACAAAATACTTCAAGCATGAAACTATGCGTAAGACAATCAGTGAAAAGTATTTTTTATTCATGAATAAAAAAATGAAAAATTAGTCAAATCATTTGGATCAAACAGTCTTTGGTTTTGGTATACAATAGTGTATACTATGACGAGATTTAGCTAGATGTAATATATAGTTTTCACGAATACCATAACCTCCATGTCTAAGATATGTATAATTCTTTTCAATCCTACCAGATGAAATACCGCAATTAATTAAAGAATTAATAGCAGTTATTAAAGGTCTAGACATTGGAGTAATAGTATAATCACCAATAACACCGATCCCTTAAAAATAAAAAATTAAATTATTCCTCTCTGTGAATTTTCAAAACGTACATACCAATTGCTTTGTCATTATAACCGTAGCAATGGCTACCCTTATATTTCCATCCTCTACCTTCATATATATGACCATCACCACCTACTAAAAAATTATAGCCAATATCATTCCAGTCATTCGCAATCATATGAAATTTTTGGAAGTGTTGTATTATTGATATACAAGAATCGTGATTTTCACAATCGTTACCAGTTGTATGAAGTATAGCAACATAAGAAACAGGTGTTGATAAATTAGTATAATTATTTTTTGGTTCAGTAGCATTCCAA